AAACTGGGCTCTATATGCTTCCCATGGTGCTTTTCCCATCATATTCCTGTTGCTTCCTTCCCACTGGATCACTCCTATTACTGACATTCATATCTGGGACGTGACTTCTTTCGGGACTGAATATGTCTGCATTAGGGTTTAGCTGCGGGCTCTGTAAGGGGCTTGCCATTGTCTGGGGCTGATTAAGTCGATGGTCAATGTATCCTCCTTGTGTAAAAGACAATAGGTCGTCCTTTAACGTATCTAATTCACTTTTAAATTTATTGATTTTTTCCATTTGTACTTCTTGTTTCCTTTCTTGTTCCAGTTGCCACTGCTGTAGTCTCTCTTCTTGTTTATTTTCTTTCTCCTCCAACAACTGCTGTAATTTCTCTTCTTGTTTATTTTGTTGTTCGAGCTGCCACTGTTGCAGGTTTTCTTGCAACTGCTGTTGTCTCGAAAAGAAACAAGAAGAAAGAAGAACGAGAAGAGAAATTACAACAGTTGTTAGAGGAAAAACTTTCTTTTCTTGTTTAATTTCTCATTCTTCTTGTTTCTTTTCTTTTTCCTCTAACAACTGTTGTAATTTCTCTTCTCGTTCTTCTTGTTTCTTTTGCTGTTCTTGTATTGCTGCCATCAAGTCTGCTATGCTGTAGTTTGATTTGCCGCTTCTCGTTTCCATTTTTTTTATATCCCACTTCTGACACCAATTTGTTACGTCTCCGTTTGTTAATTAACTTTCCGTAACTTCGTTCCAACGAAACTTTAGCGACACAAGTCCTTACTTAATAAAACTGGTTTATTCTTTCCGAATACAACTTTACGATACACTTATTTTCAATATTCGCTCTATAACAAAAGCTATATGAACGAACGTCAACAATACTTCTGACTGCAGTTCAATTACTCACTATCTACACACACATTACATTACCGTCACGTTGTCACCCTCTTTTATATACCAGACTAGCCTATATCTAGTAAATGCTAGAGCATTCGCCAAAGTACAGGATAGTTCTAGAAAGTAGAGGGCGTGAGAATAGTCACGTGATCTCGATGACGCAACTATAGTAATCCTCTGCAAAGAGTTGTAAACTCGCCATCTGGTAGAAAATAAGAGAGAACTGGTGACTGCATAAGCCAGACGTTCAAGGAAGTGAAGCTATAGACTGGATATTGCTAGAAAATTGGTTGTAACTTAGAAGTATTGTGAGATATAATTTGTAGGTGTTGTAATAGTAAGCAGATAATAATCGAATAATTTTAACTTCTTATGTTTACTTTTCTTATTAGTATTTTCCTGAGAAATATTAATATCAATAGTATTATTTAGAAAATGTAAATTTTGGATTAAAAATGATCCGGTTACTTTTCAAAGACTCACGAATAAGGTACTAGAAGGAATAAAAGGTGTTTATTGTATGGTATACTTAGATAATGTATTCTCACTAGCTTCGGAAGAGCATTTAAAAGACCTTGAACTTGTGCCTTATAGACTTTACAACTAACCGTCATAACTAGCAAATTAGAATTTAGTAAATCTGGAGCATCTTACTTGAGATTTAAGATAACACCTAATGGATTACACAATTTCTAACAAAGTCAAAAGTTTATGGAATTTTTTAACTCCAAAGAATTATAAGGAATAATGTACTTACTTGGGAATGTGTATTATCAATTTGTACCAAGATTTACCACGACTGTTGAGACTTTATATCAATTATGAAGAAAGACAAGTAGATGAAATAGGACTAGTGTGTGAAGATGCTTTTCTGAAAGTAAAGCATGATTTAATATCAGCTCCAGTATCACAGCTTCCTCAGAGAAATGAAGATTATCATCTCCATATAGATAGTTACAGTTTTTTGAATTTCGCGCAAAGCTACACGAGGGCTATCTGCGCTAGCCGTCCCTAATTTAGCAGTGTAAGACAGCTAGTCATCACCACCCACCGCCAACTCTTTTACCAACGAATAGTGGGATTGACCGTCACATTATAACGCCCCCACGGCTGAAAGAGCGAGTATGTTTGGTGTGACGAGGATGCGAATCTGCGGGTCGAGCGTCCTAACCACCTGGCCTACTTGTTGTCCTACATAAGAAAGGTGTGACTACATACGCAATCAAAACACCGAGTTCAGTCGAAAGAGAGTTATAATGTTTAGCTATTGTCTTCGCCGAAGTTTCTTTATGTATTTGGATGGCAAAGAATTCACAGTGGTCACAGATAATGCAGCTTTAAGATGGCTGCAGGATGCTCCAGGACTAACTGAAAGACTAATGCGTTGATCTTTGAAGATTTGACCTCTTTTAGTTTTTATGATGATATATGTGAAAGGATGTGTCAAATACGTTTTGTTCATTGACCAGAACGTCTCATCATGGTATGCATTATTGGTGACTAGCTGAATACCCGTCACATGGCAGTAAATGCTGATTAATTTTTCTTTCGGAAATTAAATCTAAATAAATGCTTTATGAACACGTTTTCTAAAAATTAATTATATTATAGTAACTATATATATATAAAGAATGTTTACCCTTTTCTCGTATTTCACGAAAACAAACTTTTGCTGGAAATTTGGTCATATCCTGTAAGTGGTCCTTGATTAGAATTTTGACTTGTGTATATTTTTATGTCGTGTTCATGTAGCATGCAGATAATAGGCTTTGTAATACGACAACCACATTGTTCAATTAGTCATACAACGTTTAAAGTAATCCCCGTTTTAGTATTTCTGCACTTTTTCCACAGATGATGGTGCTAAAGAATTAATAATGTGTTTTTTAGTAATTTCTGTCATTTAGAAGATTAGAAATACTTCAAGTCTCTGTTTTCCCCATTATCACTGATGAAGTGACCAATTTATACTGGCGATAAATGCACTAGTAGTTAATTGTCGGTCTTATTCAGGCTTTCACCAATTTTAATTCTCAAATCGTACCTATCATGCATTCTGTGTACACACAATTCTGTATTGCGTTTTTCTAGTGCTACTTAAGTATCTTTCTAAAGTGTTAAATACACAAACTGCTAAACCTAAGTAAGAATGGATACTATTCTTACTTGTAAGAAATTATTGTACTAGAGACGATTAATGCTTATTAAACATCATAGGTCTATCTTGATGTTCAAATGACGGACAAAGTACTACTTCTTGAAACAAGTTTTACTTACCACCTAATTGGTCTTTTTCTTTAAATAATTGACCATTATCCTTAGTTTTTTTACAATGCTTGCCTTTTTTTTTTTCTTATCATTGGCTTTAAAAATATGTGGGATGTTGTGAGTTTGAGAAACCACATGGAATGCTCGGGTAAAAATGAAACCGACAAGTAAATATAAGTCACAGAAATGGATGTTCTTGGAAAAATAGCGTAAATAAGAGTTGATTAAAAAAAGGCAGTCAGGGCACATTATCAAAAAATTAAAACACTTTTATTATCAAAATGTAAAAAAGGGCAGGAAACATGAATATCTTGTTAATCTATAGCTTGCTTTTATACATATTAATGATAGCAGCTGAATTTGACTCCACAATCACTAGCAATTATGCCAAAATGAAAATGTTCAACAACTAGCTTTGCTTGGAAATATATTCAAGTTCAATGTCTGTCAGAACTTCTCAAAATGTCATATTAACCATGTCAGGAGACTACAGTTCTTACTTAAAAAGGTTTAAGCTGAGCTTTTGTACAAAAAACACGTCAGATGTCTTAAAAAGTAAACAAGAGTTTCCTAACATGCTGGCTATATACAAAAGTCTCACCTACGCTACTAATCACTTATGGGAAAGTTTAGGCATTTTACATTCCTTAAGACATCCTGCTCTCAAAGATCTATCAAAAGAAAACTTGTACCAAAATCTTAAACTTCGTTTAAATACAGAGGGTTGAATACGTTACAGTAAAATAATTTTGAACACGCAAATCAACAAGACCATTATAAGGTTGTGGTGAAACTGAATATATCAGAACTACATTTGTTACTTGTCTGAGGTAGTGTGATGTCACCAAAAATTGAACTGTTTTTGGAAAGGGGTATGGTAAGAGCTGTTTTTGATGCAAAATGCTTACACACTCATATGAGAAAGATATGTCCAGATTGGGGGATTTCGAATTTTTGAGCTGAGTATATCCCGTTTACTTAATGGCATTAGAAAACAATTGTTTGTTTGAAGTTAAGCACAAAGCTACACAATGAGCTATCTGTGCTCTGCCCACCATGGGTATCGAAACCCAGTTTCTAGAGTTGTAAGTCCGCAGACATACCGCTGTGCCACTAGGGGGCTCGGAAAACAATGGAATACGAATCAACTTGGAGAATCAGGATCAACTAGAAAAAAACCTGCAAGAAGCTGGACCCCAGCCATAGTAAGCAAAGTATAACAAGTGAGAACTCTCAAATACAAAGGTCAATGACGAAAAACATTCATATGACCCAGACAACAGTAGGCAAAACAATCAAGAAACATCTCTGTCTGGAAAAGAGAAACAAGTCATGTGTAAACAAACTGCTTTCATAACATATTTCTTTAACCATCATATACCTCAAGCAGCTAGAGAATGAAACAGGTATTCATGCTAACACATAAGAAAACATGCCACCAGATGCAATGTCTGTAGATTTCTATGTGATTACAATGTTGCTTGCCTTACAACAAAGCCTCTTACAACGTAAATTACACTGCAGGGTTATTATCAAGATGTATGATGGTCACAGCATGACTGATGTGACCAGGCTCCAAAAGCTGTTTTAATATAGCATAAACAAACCTGTATACCCAAATTAAGATACTAATTGTGCGTCTTGGTGGATTATGTCAAGTGATAAAATGTTAAAATCTGAATCCTTAAAATGTACAAAAATAAATTAAAATCTGAAGTTCTAGTATTTGAAGATGATTGATCATGGGATAAGGTTAAATGTAAAAATAGTATTCCACTTTACATAATCCATTCATGGCAAAGCAAAAGTAATGACTTTTATGAAACATTTAGGCTTAACCTTATTAAACATGCTGGTGAATACTTGTATTCATTCAAATTTGCAATTTTAACATTGTGATGTAATTCTGAAGTTTAACTTAACTAATTGTATTCATGCTTTGTCACACTCTAAAATACTTTATAAACTTCATTGGTTTCTAAATCATTCACTAAATTCTCTTGTAAATTATTGTTTTCCCAACAAAGCTTTATCTACTTGTTTTCACAACACTAAACTTAACAACTATCAATGGTGTCATTTTCTATTTAATCATTAGTCCAAACAGTTCTTGGGTCCATTATAGTAACTAATTACACCCACAAATCATACAAGAATACTCTCAATATTGCATTTAATCCCACAATTTACTACTGAGGTTGCTCTATATACTTCATATAGAAAATGAATAAATTAACCCAACGTTTGTGGTCATTTATTTACTTTGGGTGTTGTAACAGTATGTGAATGATATCAAAACAAGTCATTAATTCGATGGTTAACCCTAATATGCTGAAATCTCTGCATTCAAAAATACCTTAAAATAACAAAGGTGTATCATAGGGTTTTCAATAATAATAAAGTCCTATAATAAACTGTAACACTTAGTCCACGGTTTGAAGCCACTATACAAAATGAGCAACATTCAGGGATTTTGCATGTAATGCTTATTCATATTACAAGTTTACATTTGGACTACCTGTAATTCCAATGTGCAGTTAAAACATCAAGTGATTATCCTAACTTCTGGAAGTGCATCCTCACAAGAAAACAATTTTGTTTAATCATTATTTCCATGAGGTCTACTTTATTTACTTGCTTTGTTTTTCCAAGCAACACAGACGAGTTGCAAATTCAGCAAAACTAGTCTGCTGTAATGGGAGAAGCAACTCAAAGAATAAGTAAGTAAGGCCTCTAAGCTCTACTTCATCTTTTCTGCACTGAAATTATTTTTGACAAATAGAAAGAATTAACATGCTACTAATCCTTTTTGGTTTTGACTTTCTTAACCAGACAGATATTACAATTTTGTTACATAATTTTTTTTAATTCTTTTTTTTATGAGAAATATTCTTTCCAGTGGAAGTTACATAATATTTTGTGAAACAAAGTATTTCTTTAACATGAACAATGAAAATAAACCTCTTCCAGTAAAAACAAAACTTTCAAGCTCCTCATTTCCAGTAATTTTCAATATTAATTAAATCTTAAAAATCTTACCACAAAAAACAAAAGGATATCATATAAAATAGAACTGTAATAAAGACACCAATGGAATCAGAAATTTTGAATATGCCTAATATATTCTTTAAATACAAGCAAGTAAATAAGAAAAAAAAAAGTTCTTAAGCAACTAACAATTTATTTCTTAGAAAACAATATTTTTCCAATTTTAGGTTAACACCAGAGTCTAGTAATGAGTGCTTTACACAAAGTACTTTTTTTTGTTTATAACTTTACATAAGGGGAAAAAAAAATCTGAACTTTCTTACATGAAAACATTCTGCAAAGGCTGAGCAACAACACCAAAACCATTTTAATTCTAAACAGTAATGTCATTTATCAAATAAAACCTCTTTTGTCTGAAAATGTCCTACATCAAAACTAAAGCCTATCTCAAAATTTTAATACCTATAATTCTGATGTTTTATGTTAGAGAAAACTTAATTCATTTTCTCTTTTGAATCAAACAACTTATGTTAAATGTAGATGCTATATTAGGGGGTGGGAAGACTTTAAAAACCTTTATAATGCCATAAGATCCACCACCTGCTTATAGTGAATTACTAAAGAGCTAGTTGAACAGTCTTCGCTTAAAAACTAAACATTTTTCTTTTAACTAATAAGAGGACAAAAAGAAGAAAAAAAATCTTTAATTAAGTTGAAACATTTATGCCATATAACCAAACTTTTTAGGACATTTCCAAAGTGGAATAATGTTCTTAGTCAAAATACTATTTTGACTTAACACAACTTATATCATAAAGAAAAATTGTCAAAAACCACTTTTTTAACATGTTGAACACAATCATGGAATATCAGTTTGATGCAGACTGTAAAGTTTTGCATCATTTCAATGAAAACTTGGACACATCACATCATGTGTGGTTACAAATAAAACAAATAGTTGGACAATGAAGGTGATGGTTCTTTGTGAAGTGACTGACCAGCAAGGAAAGCCAGTTTATGAGCATACTGACATGGAGCGGGAACTCTAATTGTACCCTGAAAAAACAAAAACAATTGAAAGTTAAATAAATTACAAAACAAAAACAATTGAAATGTTTGAAGATTTCTACAGTGGCTATCACTTGCAACTATATCTTACATGGATTTCAAATAGTTCTACTCATTTTCAGAAAATTTCAAATTTTACGTCAAACTATAAGGTCAACAGCAATCAATTTTTGATGAACAATTCTGAGAAAGATGATGAAATCAAGAAAATAATGGCAATATATTTTTCCTAAACCTCTCTTGTAAAAGCCCAATCTTGAGCCTTAAATCAAATACTTTAATTCATTATCTCCCCAAGTCACTGAATATGTACTATCTTGCAACACAAGCTCCATCATTTAGATGGAGTCAGTAAAACTTGTGTTTTTTCTATGAATAATCTAAATACATACAGATGATACTCTTTTTTTCTTGGGGGGGAATGGGTTCTGTTACAATATGAGACATTTTAGAAATAAAGAATGGAGTAATTTTGATTTTTCCAATTTTGTTTTATGGTGTTTACAAGGTCGTTCAAATCAATCAAGTCCGTATAAAGTACAGGAAATAAATAAACAAAATAGTTTTACAGAAAAAAGATGTTTGATATTTAACTAGAAAATTTCAGAGGTTACATAAATAAAATCACATAAAGAAAATTATTTTTTAACCCTACCGACACGAGTCACAGGTCAAAGGCCATGTCATTGCGTTTGTTGATTCGCATTCAAAATTTTGTTGAACTACTATTTTATGAATGTACATCAATAAATTTAGTATCAAACTGTAGATTATAATTCAATCTTTAGTTCTATACATTAGTTAATTTCTTATCTTAAAAATAAATATTAAAAAAAATTGAATATTGATGTTTGTGTGTCAAGTGGTATGTTGAATGCAGCATTGGTTCAAATTAGATGTTTATGATGTCCAAATACAAAGTATAGTTTCTTACCAATTAGATACTCAAATTACTGATACTGACAAGCTAGAATGTAAAATAAGAACCTATCTTTTCTATTTTCTGAGATATTAGTAAATTTTTTGAATCAACTAAGGTGGTTCCATCCACATCTTAAATTTTTGAAAATACATATTTACGTACACCTATTTCACCCAATGATGTGTGTATAACTAATCAAAGCTCACAATGTCCCCCTAGTTGTTTAATCAGCCTCTGTGAAGTATTTGAGCAACAAACTCTTTCTTTTCATGCTAGATTTCAAGCAGTAAGGTAAGACATTAGTGAGCTTGAAAAATTTCAAATTTTTTTTAGACCCAAATATAGCTCAGTTACTAAGCTTAATAAATTACAGTGGAATTCTGTGGTACTGATATAGTAATTTCAATATATAAAACCTACAAAACATTATTTCGTTTCACATTCTCCACGAGCAAAATTTGATAAGGCATAGCACACACAGCAAGCAGCAAACAAGTACAAAGTTCTTAACTAGAATAGATAACTGTTTGCTGTACTTCTTTATTTAGTGTTCTATGTTTTAAGAAAACTCAGTTTAAGAACTTATTTGTAAATAGTAATAATGTATTTTAACTGAAATGTGACTGTATTTTACCAAAATACTAGTCCACTAAAATGCAGCCAAAACAGGTCACTTTGTAAAGGCCAGTTTTGTATTCTTGGATATGGTAACATGAGTGCATGTGCACCACGTCATTGCAACTTCTGCAATGTTAGCCAGGCGCAACTGAAAGGTCAATATAATAGAAATAATAAATATATACACAGGTGTATAATGTTATGAGATTTAAGCCATTTAGACTAAACATTTTTATTTTTGTGTTATAATTTGTAGTCAATCTAGAACAAAAAAAAGCATTATTTATGTTTATTTCTTAACTTTTTATGGTGGTTATGAAGTCGGTCAAATCAGCCCGTACAGAGATAAAGTATTGAAAACAACAGATAAAATATAAAGTTTGATAATTATATGGAGATTATAAAGATTTTGCATATGAAATTTTCTGATGCATAAGAGTATTTTTAATCTTAAAATCATAACTACTTTGCATGTTGGATAGTCAACATTCAAAAAGAAAAAAAGGCACGAGAAAAATATTACTTAATAAATCTTAAAATTTAATTTAAAAAAATATGATATTTTGTATATGAAAGCCTTGTAATGTTTACTGACAACATGTAAAATTTCTTGAAGATACTTTTACTCATTTAAAAGTTATAGCATGAAAAGTATAACAAGCACAAAATGGTTACCAGGGTAGTCTCTGGGATCGAGCCAGTGCTGAGAGAGTTAATCAACACAAAAATCACTCTGCACTCCCAGCAATCAACACTCTGGCTCCATATACTCATGAACAAATTTTTATTAAAATAACTAAAAAAACTGATTTTTTTTTATGTATAAAAGCCTTGCAATGTTTATTGAAAGCTGGTCAAATTATGCAAAGATACACATTATATTAAAAGTTATAGTATGGAAACTAATGGTTACAAGGTTGATCACACCAACTGACCTTCTGTAAACAGAATTTACCAAATTTCTTATGAGGCTAGCTCATTCTATAACAGTTTATTAATTATTTATCTTTACTGTTGCTGAGACTCTTTGACCAGTCAATGAAACTACTTAAACCCACTTACAGCTTAATAAGAAAGCCTGTCAAATTACAATAGCTATATGACATAGTATTCTTTTTGTACTTTATTATTTTGTATTTTAAACTGCATACCTGAAATAATTAAATACCATACTATCAACAATCCTGCCAAAAAGTAGTTAACTTTTATCAAGAATTCAACAGCAAAAAAGTACAAAACCAAATAAGTATTAAATTTAGTTTTTTTATGTACATTTATTTAGTTATGAAGGTAACTAAAATGAAAAAATTTGAAATTAAGTTAGATAAAAAATTCAAATGAAAGAAATATTAAATAAATTTCTCCATGAGGAATGTGTGTGAGCTGCTTATTCGTGATATAATTCAATATTTTGTTAACTGTAACTTGTACCTTGCTCTCACCAGGCAATTTATTGCTTTGTTACACCAAATTAGCAGTTGCAAAAAACGTTAAAGGACTGAATATATTAGCATAATTAAAAAGTTGACCAAAGTGACTGAGCCCATATATAGTTAGAGTTAGGGTAGAGAAAATAATGCAAAATGTAGTTTTATTAAAAACTTTTGATATCTATTTAAGACATTCTAGAAGTTTTTAAACAAAAATATCTTTACTCTCAATATGAAAATCACCTTAAACTCAGACTAATCAGAGCCTGAGTCACATTGACTAAGTAATTTCAGACAAAACTTTGATAGAAATACTTCTTAAAATTCGTTGGTGTTTGTGTAATGTTCAATGTTAAAAAACTCAAATTTTATAAAACAATGATTATTTTATACATAATTCTAAAAATGAGACTGTACAATGCATCGAAACATGTAGAGTGTATGAGGTTTCCAGTTTCACTGTTTGTTTGTTTTTTACCCCGTAGAGTAAGTTATTTGTATTTTATTGTAATTTTGAGACTGGAAACAGTCTCATTTTTAGAATTGTGTATAAAATAATTTTTGTTTTATAAAATTTGAGATTTTTAACAGAAATACTTCTATTAAAAAATTAAGTTTTTCTGTGCACAACATACCTGTAATATAT